ATTGAAAAGAATATGATTTTATCCCGGATTAAATTAATAAAGTATTACAAAATCTTAGTAAAACTGAGAGATAGGAGGCTCTAATAAATGCTCTTTTATGTATTGACTGGGACCTGGGCTAAAGCCTGTTCAGAGTTCTCTGGTTCGGTTGTGAAGTGGTTAGGGAAGAGCGGGGCAATGTGAGACATCGGGTAATGTGAGACACCCCCGGTATCTAGTCAACAAAACACATTTGTGGTTGTGTGACCATTATGTTTTTAAGCCCATTCCATTTCCCCTTGGCCATAAAGGAGAGGAGCTCATGGTGCTGTGATAAGCATGTTTTTTTCACAAAAATATGTTTTTTTTGCATGTAAAAGTAAATTTTCTTGCTGTTAACTTAATCAACTGTTGTGGTAAAGCAAATTGATTCAGGTAGAAAAATTTCTATCATACATGTTGATGAACTATTAACATAAAACCATGTGATAATGATAGCTGAAGAGTATCCTGAATTACTAAGAGAGATCGTTTTTTGCTAAAAATGTGGCAGTGGGGTAAAGTGAGACATGGGGTAAAGTGAGACATGAGGCATAAGTTTAGTCTTAAAAATATTTTAATGTAATATTACATTACATACTGTATGTTTTATTTTTTAATGTCATAAACATTGTAGAAAAGCCATCATGCCAAGATAATACACCAGGAAGACAACCTGGGGCAAAACACCCCTTGAGGAGATGGAGAGTTCAAGGAAGGAAAGATGTCTATCCACAAGTTTCCGAGGGGCGCTCCTGTAAAAAATAAAGTGGGTGAAACTTCCGGTGAGGCGGCGGAAGTAGCATTCCAATGGTATTTTGTGTGTTAGTTAGCGAAGAGGCTAGCTGTTTTTCGGAGAATTATTTTACTATTTAAAGACGCAAATCTTTATGAGAGATGTCGTTATGGAGCTCAGGGACAACATGTGCTGTTCGCGGTTGTATATATAACCGGACTAAACTAATTCAGTGGCTTAAACGTGATTGTTTTGAACATAAGCTGAAAACGAAAGAGTGATCCTGCCAGAGCCCATCTCTGATCCTGCCAACGACTGTAGTTTCCATCACCTCCCAAAAGACGGCGAATCTTCCTGTGTACATTTGTTTAAATTCTTAATGTCCTATAAACTCTATCAGCATGTGATTGGCTGTTCGCTACTGATGTTACACCTAAACTCAGGATCAAAGCCTGTGTTGACAGAATACCAAATGTGTCAGTTAATGTATTCAAGTAGCACATTCATTTATAATTTTGAATAAACTCCAAAGCACAATGACTAAGTGTGTATTTTTTATTTTAATTGTTTGTCAGCTCACACAACTGTCTGTCACCATGCCTTGATGAGTATTGATTATTAATAATGTTAATAATACTCCCAATCAACTACTGCGGAGGGTAAAGGTACTGTTATTTCACCCTTTTGAATTTCGTTGAGGTTGTGTTCCCACATCGTTAGCTAGTTTGGATCGCCATAACTTGAATGACTGTCAACTGTTGAATGAACGAGTGTGAAGTATGTCAAATCGCGCTTTGTTTACTTCCAACCGGAAGTCGCGCCCACTTTTGACGGAAGACCTCATGGGGCGTAGGAAACTTGTGGATAAGAGCAGCTGCAAGGGATAGAATTATTGTCAAGCCTTACAAGATATTGAGAAGAGGAGGTCTGTTTTAAAAATGTGGAATATTGAAGCCAAAATCTTTCAAACGCTGAGCAGCTGCAGCAGACACAGATGAACGGCTAGTGCGGTCATTGGATGTGCTGTGGCAACTGCATGAACCTGTGGAGAGGCGGCTCAGACGAAAAAACCAATCAGGCTGCTTCGTGCCGTGGCATGTCAGAGCCATTCAGAATGGGTGTGGCCTAAGCCTTTGTATTGGCCAGTTCAGCCAAAGGTAGTCAGGTTAAGTCGACTGAAGCGATCCCCTGATCAAAGCCACATACATTTTGAATGTGGAGAGGGTACGACCCACGTCCAAACTCCCTTGTAAGAAGGCGAGTATACTCGATACTTCGCACAAATAGGGGTCCAGGCTCCATGCAGCGCACCAGCCAGAAATTACCACCCATTTCTGAGCGTAGAGGCATCTAGTTGACAGCGCTCTTGCCTCATGGGGATGGCAAATTAATCGGTTTGCCTGCATGAGGAGGTCTCTCCTCAGCGTCACCGGAGCTGTACCAGCATGGAGAACCATAACTGGGTCTTCTAGAGAGGGGTTATTAGTAGCACTACACACTTGCTCTCCCTGATCCATTCGATGACCTGTGGTAACATCGTGACTGGAAGGAATGCATTCAGCGGACGGCTTGGCCAATCATGGGCAAGCACACCCCTGCTCTTCTGAGGCGAAGAGGTCGACCTCTGCCTCGCAGATGCTCTATATTAGCTGAACCTTTTGTGGGTGAAGAGACCATTCTCCTGGGGGAACATTGTCTCTAGATACATATCCACACCCTGGTTCAGGATGCCTGGCACATGCGCCGCCCTTAGGGAGCACAGGTTGTGCTGAGCCCATAAAATTTGTTTTTTGGCCATGGCATGTAGGTTGCTTGACCTGAGAATGCCCTGCCGATTTATATAGGACACCACTGCCATGTTGTCTGTCCGGAACAGGACATGGTGGCCTTTCAAGTCCGAGAGAAAGGCTTTCAGCGATAGAGCGACTGCTCTCATCTCTAGACAGTTTATATGTAGGCGTTTCTCCAGGCTTTACTATGAGACGAGCCTGCCCTCGTAAAGGGCCCTCCAACCTAGGTTGGATGTATTTGTCGAGATCACTTTTCTCCTTTTAACCACACCCATACTCACTCCTGACTGATACCAGTTGTCCGCTTTCCAGGGAGCTAGGGCTCTGATAAAAAGTAAGTGGATCAGTTTACCCCCAGCTGGTTCACTTTACCCCCTTGATTTCTCTGGTCTGTCTCAGTTTACCCCTAAGCTGGGGTAAAGTGAGACACAAGACCACTTTTTTAAAAACATATTTTCACTGCCCTTCGTCCTGAATACATTCAGATAATTTCGATTGGTAGAAAACATTCTGAATTAATGGGAAATGTATAGATCTTACTGATATATCATTTTAGCTCACTTAGAGGAGAGCAAATGTAAAAAATGTCTCACTTTACCCCACTCTCCCCTACATATAAAAGGATATTAAATTGAGGACCTTGAAAACATAGTAGCATAGTTAAAGGCAACGTTTACTTTTTTGAATACATTTTAAAATAAGTAAAAACTAGCAATATAAGGGACTTACAAAAGCTTCTGTGCTCCATAGACTGTGCTCCAGCTGTGGATCTGGCGGGCACAGGTGCTCCAGCAGTGGATCTGGTGGGCAGAGGTGCTCCCTCTGTGGATCGGGTGGGCACAGGTGCTCCAGCTGTGGATCTGTCGGGCAGAGGTGCTCCAGCTGTGGATCTGGACTTCTTTTTCAGACCCACAAAATGAAACCAAGCCACTCGGGCCAGATAAGGGTCATGGATCCTCGTGGGTGAAGATAACGGGGGACTCGTTGTGTTGAGGGGAGAGCAAGGCACGCGATGAGAGCGCGCTTCCGCCCCGCTGCTCAGCCTGGGGAGATGAGGGAGCGACAGGTTTGCTGAAGAGTACGATCGGGGCGAACAGCATCACAGTCCAGAGCAGCTTGAGTCCAGAGGCGCTGCCTTGGCGTGGACACGGCCCAGGAAAGAAGCACACTCAGAGTGCTCATCCAGAGTGGGTAAGTGAGCCCTCCACTATCAACATTTACGGCGTGACATTAACAACGAATAAGCTGGAAATTTGCTCTAAAAGTTGCTCTTGTTTTTAAGTCGCAGAAGGACCGCAGGCGGAAGAGATGCTAAATCAGCTTGCAGAGCATCATGTTCCGCTGAGAGAGAGGCTTCAGTCTTCTTCGGAGCAGTGATGTGATCTTCATGCTGAATAAAAGGAGATTTTGACATTTTGAAAAAATTCAATTTTCAGGAAACCTGGTACATACGATAATAATAAGAACAATAATAATCATTATACATTAGTGATTAAATAATGATCATAACTGTTGGTAGATTAAACTCATTAAACCAAAAAAAAAGGGAGTCAGAGATTTTGTTCTTTTCATCATGACACAAATGTGATGTAAGCCGCTTGAATGCATTCAATAGTTGTAACTCATATGCATGGAACATACAGTAAATGTAATATTATCCTCTTATTTAGATAACATGCTTTGAGTGTTTTGTCAAGCTGTGTGGTAGAATCAATGCAAGAGAACCGAACCTCACCTTTGTGTCCGTGAAGTTGCTTATTAATGTTCTATATATTAAAGAATTTAATTTTAAATTTGGTCTAACACACACACACACACACACGCACAAACAAACCAACAAACATTTACATTTAGTCATTTAGCAAATGCCAAATCCAAAGCGACATCTGAGGACTAAATCAAGTCATTGTGAAGAGGCAATAACAACAGTAGCTCAATAACAACACAAGATGTGCTCAAAATAAGTTCTAACATAGTATAAACCAGACAAGTAAGGATTTAATTTTTTTTTTTATAAAGTATTTGATTGACAAACTAATTTGATCACTCTGAAATACGTTACTGAAATGTGTATTATTGTTCAGTAGGCTATAGGGGCGCCCTAATTATTTTTTTTCTATTTATAGAATAGGTATGTGCTAAAGAAATGCAAGTTTAAATACGTTCTCCTGTCTCCAAACAATTGTATCTGTCATATGTGTGGTTTTAGGTCTATGTGACGCGTATTCTTGCTATGAGATGTTTTCTTAATTAACTGGGAGGGAAAAAACTGTCAGAATTGGGAGATTTAAATACATACTTAAACAGATTCAGAAATAACAATTATAATGTATGCAGGGGTAATGTATAATAGTGTATAAATGATGATAATTATGGTTTTCAAAAATGCAGATGCCAGGTCCGTTTATGCTGCCTCTCACGAGCACGTTTGAAATCCATCCCGTTATTTCCCTGCGTGCTGACGTCACTCACCGAAACTCTCGCGCGTGTGGCCTGCAGTTCGGACAGCGGTCAGATCATCTGATCATCAAACACCAAAAACTCTCACCATGGGAAACTGTCAAGTGAGTATTTCATTTCATCTTTATAATGCACACCTTACACACGCCGCAGAGAGATAGAGAGAGTGTGTTCGTGTAGCATGCGCAGAGATTGTTACGGGACTGGTCGCATAATCGATCAACTTAAATCTGTTTTAAAGAGAAGGAAAGAAATGAATACAGTGACAAAGGAATAAAGACAGTTAAGATGTCTGATCTTGGTTGCGATGCCACGTTATGCTTTGGGAAACAGCCCGTATCGCGTAAACTGTAATTATAATTGTTATTCACGATTGTTTTTACTGTTAAATGTTGAAAAAAAACCCCCCTATGTTTCCACTTTTAGAATTTGTATTATGGTGATTTAGATTATAAGGTTATATGACATAGTAAAGGGAAGGACTGTATTAGAATTCCGTTATGGATGAGTCAGAGGAAATGCTTTGGGAGGAGACTAGTTCTTCATATCGCCTGTGCGGGGCCTCGGTCTAGGGTTGCAGTGTTTGGAGAGGGTGCTTCCTCTGAGTCTGAGCATTCCAGAGCCGGCCTTTTGTTCATATGGGGGAGAGGGAGACTGAAGGGAATAGTAGCTCATCAGTTACACACACACGCACACACACACACACACACACACACACGTCTGGTTCACTATCTTTGTTGGGACTCTCCATAGACGCAATGATTTTTTATTCTGTACAAACTCTATATTCTATATCCTTACACTACCCCTACTCCCTAAACCTAACCTATCCATCACAGAAAACTTTCTGCATTTTGAGATTTTTAAAAAAAGAAAAAAAAGAAAGTATAATAACAAAATAAAATTCGGTCTGATAATAAGGTCAAAAGTTGCTGGGATTACTTTTCTTGTGTTGTGAGGATATTTGGTCCCCTGCCCCATTACATAATACACACACAAGTCAAGTCACCTTTATTTAATCTATATATTGTATATAGCAGATTGTTTCACAGCAGATTTACAATGATAATAGGAAAGTAATGCAACAGAGATTGTTTTTGCTGTATGGTAGATCTAGAAGAAAATAGTGTCATAGTCCAGCATGGTTAATTTTTGTTGTAAAAAAAAGTTATTAATTTAGTTCATTTATCTATACAGCCGCTCAGTGATGTCATCATCCAGCTCAGATCAGTTCTCATATAATGATGTCATTGCAGGCAGATCAATATTAACATTGTTGAATATTTATTCTGTAATGAAGTTAATACTACAGAAAAAACAAATGTAATTTCTATACTGATAGCTAGTTAGTTCAGGCAAGAATAAAAAAAGCACAAATTAAATTCTATATAATTCTAGTATCAGTACTTAATTTTAGCTTGTAGAAATCAAAGTGTAAATGTCAACATTATAAAAGTAAGTAAAACCTACTTGACTTTCTGATACTTGCTTTCCCATCATGCACTGGTGCATAAATATGAATAAAGTTGCTTATTTTCTGTTGTTTTCCTGCTGTATTTACAGTTTTATAATATAATAAGAAAATTTGACTTATCTTTGTTTTTTTCAGCTCTTTACTGATTTCTTTGATCATTTTTGCTGATGTATTTATTTATTAACATTTAATTTATCTCTAGATTGATGATTAGATTTAGTGGCACTCATTTATAATATTTTTTATGTTACAATGGCAGTTTTTTGGGATATATGGTATACCATTGCAGCAGTAACAAATGTTTTAGGACTTTTAAATCTTTAAAATATGTGAGAAACATTATTGACCCTATGATGTGAGTATCATAACAGTGGTTTGCTTTAAACACATTATTCTTGATAGCTGCAAGAATTGCTTCTTGAAAACTATTTAGCAGTAATAAGCAGTGATGACAATTTATTTTTTAGCCTAATGTAAGAGGAGTAGTTGCAACAGTCTGACTTATATTAAATTTAAATGTTTTATCAATATTTAATGGTATTACTGGTGGCACATATAAATGTCCTCATCCAATAATAATCACTGCCAGGGTCATAGCAAGCAAATTCACTGAATGCTAAAACATGAATTAGTGAGCTACATATTGTAATTGACTGTGAAACATAATGAACATTGAAAATGATTATCTCTGGTTTTATTCAACAGCCCACAGTTTATCCTTATGAAGACTTCGACGTAGTTGCCGATATAAAGGCCATCCGCAAAGCCTGCAAAGGTTTAGGTGAGATGTTTATGCCAGTCTTATATTTTATTCTGTATGTCTATCAAATGCAACTACAATTTGACATGCAGTTCTAGTTAGTCTGCTATTGACAGGCCATTTTCATAACTGGTGGATCAATTTGAATGACATTTTCTATACAATTTTCAAGGAACTGATGAGAAAGCCATCATAAACATCCTGGCCAATCGAAGTGCAGCTCAGAGAATGGAGATCAAACAAGCATACTTTGAGAAATATGATGATGTGAGTATTCTGAAAACACTTTCATGGCAAAGAAATACATATTTTAAGAATAAAGAGAATGCATTTAAAGGTTTAATGTTTTCTATGAAGGAGTTGGTGGATGTTTTGAAGAGTGAGCTGACTGGTAACTTTGAGAATGCCATCCTCGCCATGTTGGATCCTCCTCACGTGTTTGCTGTTAAAGAGCTCAGGAAGGCCATGAAGGGCGCTGGCACCGACGAGGACGTCCTGGTGGAGATTCTGTGCACTGCTACCAATGCTGTATGTCAGTTTGTTTTGAATTGAAAGCCTCTGCAATTTCCTGTTTGTGACTGTTATCAAAGCGGGGGAAAATGTTTGTCTTTTACTAATATGTTTACAGTTAAATAGATTTAGAAATTGAAATGAGTCAATTTCTACTTTTTTGGTTTCTCACAGGATATTGCCACTTACAGAGATACCTACACCTACGGTAAGAGCGACTCGACCAATAATATGCATTATGCAATATACATTTTACATGTTTTAATATTTGAGTGATACAATTGTACCTTGATCATTCATACAAATTAAAAGTTAATTAAAAAATATTATTTAAAAAGTTATTATGTATTAACTGCATTAGGGGTGTAACATCAAGTCACAATATATCGCAATACAAAAATGCATCAATATGTGTCATGGATAGTGACAATATGTATTATGTATAATTCACCCAAAATGAACATTTCTGTGTGAGAAATAAATTCAAGTGTACAGAGTTTTAGTGTCAAAACTTCATTAAACTACTATATATAATGTTCAATATAATGTATAATTAGTGATATTTGTGGGTCCTGGTAATGCCAAATGTCTTATGTTACTAGCGTGCACAATCTGTATTTTCAGCTTCAGAATCATGAATATTTTTGAATATGATCTGGTGTCACCGTGCATTAGGTCACCAGCACCAAGTCCAAGCCTATTCATTTACACCCACAATGTAAAACCAAATTTAGCATTTTAATCAACAGTACATTTTTTTGTTAACATATGTCTTGTAGTATCCCAAAAATACCATATCTTGATGTGTATCGAATCGTGACATGAGGGTATCGTTACACCCCTAGTAAATATTGAGATTAACAAACAATGAACAACATTTATACAGCATTTATTAACCTTAGTTAATGTTAGAAAGACCATCTTTAAATATCTACACAAAGGCCAGAGCATTGAAATTACCTACCTACATACATATATTTATATATATGTAATCTCACAATTTATTTGCTTCTATTTTAGAACACTTGATGATTATCTAATCAAAATGACAAAATATGTATTACAGTGATGATAAAAAAAGAACTGAAATTAAAAGCGTTTCTGATTTGTTTATGTTTCTGTCGGCTGCACGAACATATCAATTTTCTTTCTTACATCAAATAGCTTTAAATATGCAAGTTCGTTGGCTAATGAATGTATACGTGACCAGCTGAATATAAACTAATGCAAATAGATGGTAATCATGACATTAAATATTTGGGTCGGACGGGCGTGTGTTTTTGAGGTACTACTAATGTTAGCGTCCTCAACCTCGACGGCAAACATAGTGTCACATCCTCTTTGAAAGCCAGATTTCAAACTCTTCTGAAATCAAAATTTATTTAATTTATTTAAATTAATTAATACAAATTTTCCTATAAAAGCATCATTTTGCATATTTTATTATTTTAACCCACAAAATCCACTACAATCTGACATTGAGAAGGGTTGAGTCGCCTGGCAAAGTCCTTACACTGGTATAAATTGTCCCATAATTACAGTTTTGTCTTCATATTTTTGGGATTATAAAATTTCAACCAGCATTTGACCAGATTTTAGAATCATGATGTTTCAAATAATTTAGTAAAGAATCAAAAGACAATACAATGGGTGAAAACATCCAACAGACTTGTTGAAACTGTTGAAGTGGGGAAAATATTTTTTTATATTTATTATATATATTTTTTATATATATTTATATTTTTAGTTTTTGTATTGTTTTATCAAATGAAAAAAACAACTTTGTTGTTGTCTACAGTGCATGACAGGGATTTGGAGGCAGACATTGAAGGAGACACCAGTGGGGATGTTAGGAAACTACTAACATTCCTTCTCCAGGTAAGTCATATTCATTCTGAATCAAAATGGTTGCTTACGTCTTACAAAATGACTACACTGCAGTCCTGGGCGACACGACAAGCTCACTGTCAGCCTGTCTTAAGTACCCCTCCCCTTTCCTCATGTCCCTACAGAGCGCTGGAGCTTGGCAGTGGTTCAGATCCCCTTTCATTAGATAAGTGGAGGCAGGATTCAATGACGTGACACAGATTGGATTTCACTCTCTCTGTCAATACTTTCTCTCTTGTAGGGTAACAGAGACGAGAGCTACGAGGTGGACGAAGCACTGGCGGAGCAAGACGCCGTCACCCTGTTTGAAGTAGGAGACATTCAACATAATCTCACTCTATAAATATTCACACATGAAGCCTGATTCTAGCACACGCCTGGAAACACAATATAAAAAGTTTGGACAGCATCTAAAACATGATTTTTTTTTTTTAAATTAACTTATGTTATGTTTAACTTTAGAGACAGGCAAGGGTTATACATAATTTTGAGGTTTATAGATGATTGCAGTTGTAGGGTGATTTTGAATGGATTTATGGATCTCTAATAAGCTGATTTACTGCTCAAAAAACATTTCTGATTATCAATGTTGAAAAGAGTTCTACTTAATATTTTTGTGAATTTTTTCCCAGGATTTTTTAATGAATAGAAGGTTCAAAAGAACTTAATGTTCACAGTTCTCCGATGTCAGTTAATGGTCATGACAAACATAGAAAAAAACAAATAAACAAATAACTTTTTTTTTATAAAATATAGGCTTTCCCAAATTGGAGGAAACTACACTTAGTCATAATTATGATTTAGTGTAGTTTCCTCCAATTTGGGAAAGCCTGTTCTATTTAAACATACAAATATGTATGTGTGCTACAATATACAAATGTTAATATGAATGAGATCATCCTGTGATATTTTATGACAACATAATGATCATGTCCATTTTGTTCCAGTTTATTAATATATGTTTTAATGATCTGTAAGGCTGGAGAGGGCAGCTTTGGCACAGACGAGTCAACTTTCAGTTTCATTCTGGCCACCAGGAACTACTTACAACTACAGGCTACATTCAAAGCCTATGAAGCGGTGAGTTTTTATTCTGTTCTGAGTTTAAAGGCATAGTTCACCCTAAAATGAAAATTATGTAATCATTTACCCACCCTTGTGTTGTTCTAATGCATTTTGCCCTTCTTTCTTTTTTTGGACCACTAGAGTATCAGATGCAAAAGTATCATAGAATGATCCCATGGAATACATGTAGTATATTACAAGTGTTCTGGGGGGATATAATAGGGGTTTAGAAAAAACAAAAAAAACAAACAAAATATATATATATATATATATGATGTATTATTTAACAAAAATCCGGACCTTGGCTGTTGTCTTCTGTGCTGCGGGACTCTATTTGTGCTGCAGTCACTATGACTCGCCTAAAAAAGCACACAAGTTGCGAGAAATGCAGATGAATAAAATCACGACATAAAATACAATCCATGTACTTTCTTCTCTGAGGTGAATATATTCACATTTACATCAGTCAACTGTCATTCTGACTGTCATCTGACAACCAGAGTTCAGGTCTGGAGAAATTCAACTAAGTGAAGAAAGTATACAGATACTTTTTGGGATTTCTACACTTGGAATATACGACATGTCAAGTCAAGTCAAGTCACATTTATTTATATAGCGCTTTTCACAATACAGATTGTATCAAAGCAGCTTCACAGTGATAACATGTAAGTAGCACAACACAGATCAACAACATTGCTAAACACTAAATAAATAACCCCAACTGAGCAAGCTCAAAGCAAGCCAAAAGCAAGGCGACAGTGGCAAGGAACCAAAACTCCATCAGATTGGATGGAGAAAAAACCTTGGGAGAACCCAGGCTCAGTCGGGGGCCAGTTCTCCTCTGGCTTACATTCATATTGTTTAAATATAAATATTAAATATAAATATTGTTTATGAATCAAACGGCGCCATAACATATCGCAGGCGTTGAGTCGTCTCATCACAGGCGTTGAGTCGTCTCATCACAGGCGTTGGGGCATCCGAAATCCCCGTGAGAGGCTGGACACAAAACTGGACCTGACGAACGCCATTTTTCTCGGGACAAGCGTCCCGAGATAACAGCAGAAAGGCAGATGGGAAATAATTAGCATAGCTGATGTTCATAATAATTTCCGTTATAACTCACAAACTCTCCGTAACCCGAACTCTCCGCAACCCAACCATACGCGCCGACCCGTTTGTCTAAAAGGCTGTCGAGCCCCACTGGTGCGTTAAGCAGTTTCAGTGGCAAACGGTTCCGTATGGCATAACAGAGGACTAGAAGGTAAGCATTATGTGAATGCTTGACTAAAGAGATGCGTCTTTAATCTAGTTTTAAACTGTGTCAGCGAGTCAGAGGCTCGGACCGTATCGGGAAGGCCATTCCAGAGTTTTGGAGCTAAATGCGAGAACGCCCTCCCTCCTTTACTGGACTTCGATATCCTAGGAATGACCAGAAGCCTTGAATTTAGTGATCTTAAGGAACGCGGTGGATTGTAGGGCGAAAGAAGGTCCGTTAAGTACATAGGTGCTAAACCATTTAGGGCTTTATAGGTCAGTAGTAGTATTTTGTAGTTGATGCGGAACTTAATAGGTAACCAGTGTAGAGATGATAAAATCGGTGTTATATGATCATATTTTCTTGACCTAGTAAGAACTCTAGCAGCTGCATTTTGTACTAACTGTAGCTTGTTTATTGAGGATGCAGGACAACCGGCTAATAAAGCATTACAGTAATCTAGTCTCGAGGTCATGAATGCGTGAACTAATTTTTCTGCATCAGAAATAGATAGCATGTTACGTAGCTTAGCAATGTTTCTAAGGTGGAAAAAGGCTGTTCTTGTAACATATGAAATATGATTTTCGAACGACAAGTTGCGGTCTAGTATAACACCCAGGTCTTTTACTGTTGTGGATAAAGTAACAGGACATCCGTCTATATTAAAGTTGTATTGTGAGAGGTTTTGTGAGTAGTTTTTTGGACCAATAAGTAATACCTCCGTTTTATCTGAATTTAATAGCAGGAAATTACGCGTCATCCAGCATTTTATATCTTTGAGACACTCTGTCATTTTAGATGAGTTAGTGTTTTCATCTGGTCGTGATGAAATATATAATTGAGTGTCGTCAGCGTAACAGTGGAAATTAATTCCATGTTTTCTTATAATATTACCAAGTGGCAGCATATATATTGAGAATAGCAGAGGGCCTAAAACTGATCCTTGCGGTACTCCATAGTCTACTGACGTTATCTTTGATTTTTTCCCATTTAAACAGACAAAATGAGAACGGTCCGATAAGTACGATCTAAACCAGCTTAATGCCTGTCCCTGGACACCGGTGAAGTTTTGTAGTCGATCCAAGAGTATTATATGATCTATAGTGTCGAACGCAGCGCTAAGATCAAGTAGGACTAGTATTGAGATACAGCCTTGGTCAGAAGCTAAAAGTAAATCATTTGTAATTTTAACTAGCGCAGTTTCTGTACTATGATGCGGTCTGAATCCTGACTGGAATTTTTCATAGATATCATTTTCTTGCAAAAAAGAGCACAATTGAGCGGACACTACTTTTTCAAGTATTTTGGACATAAATGGAAGATTTGAAATGGGTCTGTAATTTGCCAAGTTATTTGGATCTAATTGCGGTTTCTTAATGAGCGGTTTTATTACAGCCAGCTTGTATATTTTTGGGACATGACCTAAAGATAAAGACGAGTTAATAATATTGAGGAGAGGCTCTTCCACTACAGGTAATAGTTCTTTCAGTAGTTTAGTGGGTATTGGATCTAATAAACAAGTTGTTGGTTTAGATGCAATGATAAGTTTATTTAGCTCCTCCTGTCCTATCGTTGTAAAGCGGTTTAGTTGTTCTAGAGGGTCCATAATTGAAGCTGAATCATAAGACACCATAGCGGATTGTACATTTATAATTTTGTTTCGGATGCTTTCTATTTTCGCATTGAAGTAATTCATAAAATCATTACTACTAAACTGTAAAGGTATATTTTGCTCTGGTGATGTCTGTTTATTTGTTAGTCTAGCCACGGTGTTAAATAAAAACCTTGGATTATTTTGGTTATTTTCGATTAGTTTGCGGAGATGCTCAGCCCTGGCTGTTTTTAGTGTCTTTTTATAACGGGACATACTGTCTTTCCACGCGATTCTAAAGACCTCTAAATTAGTTTGTTTCCATTTACGCTCTAAGTTGCGAGTTTCTCTCTTGATAGCATGTGTAGCACTGTTGTACCACGGTGCTTTAATTTTCTCTCGAACCTTTTTTAATCTAATTGGCGCAACAATATCTAATGTACTAGTAAGAATGGTGCTTAAACTGCTAGTCATTTCCTCTAATTCATCTGTTTGTTTGGGTTCACTTAGCAGCTTAGATAGATCAGGTAAGCTATTTGAAAATCCATCTATAGTGGTTGGAAGGATTGTTCTGCCTGGTCTATAACGTGGCGCAACATGACATATTTCAGCAGTACGTATTATGCAAGTCACCATGTAATGATCAGTGACATCATCGCTTTGCGGTATAATATCTATATCAGTTGGATCGGTTCCATATGATATAATTAAATCTAGTGTATGATTTAGACGATGAGTGGGACCACTGACGTTTTGTTTGACCCCAAAGGAGTTTAATAAATCTGTAAACGCAGCCCCTAAAGCATCATTTGTATTATCTACGTGTATGTTAAAATCTCCAGCAATTATTGCTTTATCGACATTTACCAATAGATCCGAGAGAAAGTCTGCAAACTCTTTTAGGAATTCAGCATATGGCCCTGGAGGTCTATATACAGTAGCCAGGGCTAGAGATAATATAGATTTCCTTCTTACATCTAAGAGCGTAACATTTAGCACAAGTACTTCAAATGAATTAAACCTGTGACCTGTTTTCTGAGTAATATTAAAAATATCTTTATAGATTGTTGCAACACCGCCGCCACGACCGATCAGACGAGGCTCATGTTTATAACAGTATCCTGGCGGAGTAGATTCGTTTAGACCGAAATACTCATTTGGTTTAAGCCAGGTTTCAGTAAGGCACAGAACATCGAAGTTATTGTCTGTGACCATTTCATTTACGATAACCGCCTTAGGTGTGAGCGATCTAATGTTTAGGAGACCTAGCTTTAGAAATTGTTTTTGTTGACTGATATTTAGATTTTCTGGTTTAATTACAATAAGATTTTTGCTAGATCCTACACTAGATTTATTGTTTGGCTTCACTAAACGAGGAATAGACACAGTTTCTATATAATGTTCCACACTATGCTTATTAGTTAAGTTTGGACCGCAAAGGCTGTAATTTGGACTTTGACTCATTAGTCATCTGGTGCGTAATGTCTTGGAAATGTTGTCCGACAGCACAGCCGCTCCGATTCGGCTGGGATGGAGACCATCTGTGCTGTACAGCCTCGGTCTTTCCCAAAACAGATGCCAGTTATTTACAAAGTGCAGCCCCTGTTCATTACACAATGACATTAACCATTCATTTAATGCAAAAAGTCTACTGAACCTTTCCTGTCCTTGTCTGTACGTGGGAAGCGGTCCAGACACGATGATCGCTGCTTTAGGCGCTGTGCTGCGTACCGTCTCGATCAGGCTCCTGTAGTCCTTCTTCAGAACCTCCGTCTGCCGCAGCCTGATGTCGTTCGCTCCCGCGTGCAGCACAACAGCTCCGACGCGCTCGTCCCCGTTCAGGATCTCGGGAACCTGTGCAGCAACATCAAGAACACGAGCACCAGGAAAGCAGTGAGTGCGCACTTTACCTTTATCCGAATTAGCGCGGACATGGCGGACTATGGATGTGCCGATGATCACGGCGTCGTCGCGTTCCGGCTCGCGAAGAGGGGAGAAGCGGTTCCGGGTGGAGATCTCGAAGACCGGGAGGGGCGGAGAGGCAGCTCTGGCTCGAGTCTTCCGCTGTGTGATCCATGGTCCATGTTGTTTCGGTGCCGGAGTGAATGAAGCCTTAGATGATCGCATCTTCACTGCGGTCAAGTGGGCCGCGCGTGGAAAATACAC